AAAAACCACTCTATGAAGAATGAATCGACACAGGTTATTCTTAAAATCGTCGCTCTCGGAGAGATTTTCATTCTTTAATTCTTGGCGATCTGACGCACTACCTGCATGACGTCCTCACCAGCGTACGGAAATTAAACTGGTACGCTCAGTTTTGCGCCACATGTTTATAGAATACTGTCTCTTTGTTCTCTACACAGTATTATTGTTTCCCCGCTTCGAACATCTTAAAGCGGGTACGTACTCTTTGCAATATCAATGAACCTCAATTGGCTAAAGCGCTTGTTTAAATAAATTTGTTGATGTGCATATCAGTTTCTGTTCTCATCGGCACAGTGGGCTTACCAAACACAACCGGAAACTCCAATAAATTCTAAATATGAATCTAATTTCTACACAGTTATCTCGCGCTGTCGTAGCTTCCCCGTTTTTAGACTATCCGCATACATGCTGACTATTTTCTATATTCCTCCTCATTTACTATTGTTTGCTTTTTCATGATATTCCATTCTTTCAGGGCAAGGAGGTTGAAGTTGGTGATATCCGAAAGGTATACGATCTCTTTTGGGACGAGAAGCGAATTACTAAATTCCTTGAAGAGCATTTGAAAGAATTTACTGGCGAGTTTAAAGCACTTCACCAGTCTGAAAACATGGAAATTAGCTGATTTTATACTCTCCACTGCGCATAAGCTTCTAATTTTCTTTGTAAATAAACTTTGGAAGTTCTGTCAGTTCTGTCATTGCATTGCATTTGTTCTGTCAGTTTTGTAGATGTCAAAACCAACTTTTCTGTTGTCAATTAACCGTTGATTTAACCATGTATAGTAGAAATTAAGTATGGAAAAAGACAGTCGTGAAAATCAACTGATCAGTTTATGGAACACTGTAAAGAAGGATATATGCGAGCAGCGACCACATTTGGAAAAATTTAACGAAGATGCTGTGGATCCTTTTCTTGGAGTGAAGCAGCCTCAAAGGTTATATAATATTTAACGAAGTTTCTGATTAGAATTTAGACTATTTTTTCAGATCTATTACACCGGATCCCTCGCAAACCTCACCTGATAGTCAACCTGCAGACGGTATGTTCATTACTGTGGTGTTTAAGGTTAATCCCGCAAATGAGCCCGCAAATGCAAACATTGCTCATAGAGAGCTTTCCTATAAATGCACATAATCTAAAATAAGTTTGTTCTTTTATGGGATACAGATAAAAATTTAACATCGGTAATGCGTAATGAGGAAATAAATTTTTACTCGGATGCTTCCAGTTAAATATGTCCGAACGTTTAAAAGCGAATTACTGTACAGTCAAAATTATTCCTGCGTACAGAATGAATATGTTTATCAAATATATGCTTGCGAGTCTGTGATCTTTTTATTCCATAACCGTTTCTTCTTTCGGACAGCTTCCTTCCAACGCTCCTGATCCTGTGTCAGAGGTTGAGCTTCGGCAGAAGCCAGCCAGTGTCTGGAGCAGACTCCTTACATATACCTGCACCGGATTAATCTAGGCCTTCACCTAAGCCTTCTGCCGATCCGCTGGGCAAGAAGTAGTTCAGTCGCCTTGCTTTTTGAGGGCATTCGCAACATGTGCCCAAGCTATCGCAACTGTGACTTATCAATCTGAAGAAGCAGCGGCTGTAACCAAGGTTCTCGCGCATATCTGTACTCCGGACCATATCGAGACACGTAAGGTTAGCGCGACTCGTCTCAGAAAGCCAATTTCAGCTGCTTGTACCCGGAATTAAAGCTCCTCAGTCATGGACAACTCATGACGTATATAAGCATGGGGACAAAAATCGACATCGACTTGAATACCGAGAGCTTAGTTTTCAGACTGAGCTCTGCTTTAGTCACAGTGGGTCAGGCTAGTTCACGCAGAACGCCACTGGCTACTCCAATTCATCGGTCGATCTCTTCCTCCAATTTTCCATCACTGTTAAATACAATTCCGAGGTACTTAAATTTCTCCACCTGCTCCACTGCATTTCCGTGAATCTGAAGAGAGCAACGGGCAGGGGAACGACAAAGCACTAGGCTTTTCGCTTTAGATGCGTTCACGCGCATGCAGGTCACGTCGCACTCGGCTGCGAACTGTTCTAGGGAGCACTGAAGATCAGTTTCATAAGATGCTAATAAAGCAAGGTCCGTCTGCAAACAGCAACTTTCTCGACTTCACATCTCCTACACCGACACCCTCATCGCTTGGCAGCTACCG